TAGGACAAAACTATTACTATTTAGAAAGCGGTGATAAGAGAGGTTATTTGAGGCATGAACTGCTGAAAGTTTGAGGAAGAACAAGAAAAAACATGAAGCGAACCAAAGTTACCACGAAAACCCATGGACACAACCCTGAACAGGGAACGGGGCGCACTCCGAGTCTTGAAGTCGCAGAGGTCAAAGCCGTTGATGAAGATGAGCACCTGCCATGTTACAAGTCGCGTTGTGAAAGCGTGTTCGGGTTTATTGGTTAGGGGATTAGGGAGTTGCGAACAGCAAGTGCTTTCATATCTGGCGGCACATTGCTCTCTGGCAATCTGTTTTCATGAGGTGCTCGTAAGTAGTTTCCGCGGCTTCTTCTGGCACGGTCAGCTGAAACACTGTACCAAATTAGGCATAGGTGTCCGCTGTGCATTGCCGTAAAATGCTGTCATCTGAATCTTTGGAGAAGGCTTTGAAACCAACTCGGTGAAACCCTCAATAATTTGCCACCGCTGTTCTGGATGTAGCCCTCGTCAAGGAGCGCCTCACAGGGCCAAAAACTTGCACAAACCCTGCCTACCTACAACATGACAGGCTGATTGGACGAAGCGCACCTCGCAAATCAACAATCGGACATGGCGCGTGGAGGCCAACAGGACGTACTTCTTCTTGGTCTCGTGGAAAACCTCGGGCCACAGACCCGGCCTTTTTGCCATTTTGGGGATGATGCCTGCGACATTTTCTTCTGAAGCCATCTGTGCACCCTCATCTTGCTTCAAGCTGGACACGGGCGAAAAGCCATCCAGTGCGATATTGATGAGGTGCTCGCGGGCATCATCCTGCGGAAGTCAAAATGAATTTAGGGCGAACCTGCCTGACCACCCGAAAGACACAAACCAAAACCTGCCCCAAACTTGCCTGACCCAAGCAGTTGCCGATGCCCGGCACGGATGTAGTGGCCAGCGGAGAGAACTGGTCGCCTGCGCTCATCAGGTTGCCCAGAGCGGTGTAGACTGCGTCAATGGAACCGCCATAGGTGGCCACGAAGAGGCGCGCCAGTCTCGGCCCCATGCCCCAGTGGCCCGTGAGCATCTTGAACACGTCGACCGGCGGCACTTCCGGAGCGATGATAATGTTCTTGATGTCGAGTAGGTTGAGACCGGCCTTGGCCAACTTGAAAGGGTAGCCGTGCTCGGAGCTGATGAGGATGACCGAGGCTTTGACGTTCTGCTTGGTGATGCCGGTGATTTGAGCCAAAGCGGCCTTGGCTGTCTCTGCTTTGGCATCGTTGCCGTCCTCGTGGAGCGCGAGGTTCGCGTCATCGACGATGATAGCAATGCCCTTGCCTGCCCTCCGAACGAGACTGACAAATCCCTGTTCCCTCATCTTGCCATCCATGTTGTCCAGGAGTTTAGCAAGGCTGTCTGCGACAAGTTTGCCGACTTTTGGGACAATAGACAACACGCCTGCCAGAAATCTTATGAAAATGCTTGTCCCCGCTACCGAAACAGCACTTCGAAGAGCCATCAATGGCGGAGCTGTGCTCAGAACAGCCGTGAAAAAATCTGTCGAAGGCATCTCTCGCATATCCATGAAAACCACAGTCCGCTGGGAGCGTTTGGCCTGTGTAAAATTCGCTACGACACTCCGAGTGACTGTGCTCTTGCCTACACTCTTGCCACCCAAGACCAAGGTGAGCTTGCCATCTCGGGAGATCGCATCCGTGAGGTTGTCTATGGAAGACTCGCGGTCCACTATCTTGCGTGGTTCGTTGGGCTCACCCTTATGAACTGCGTGGCCTTTTGATCAATACTGTTTAGGTGAGCATCTGCATCCACCTGCTTCTCCCCGGCATCTTCCTTCAAAGCTTGCAGGAAAAGGTCGCTGTTCTTGACATCAGCGAAGAAGTTGCCATCCAACTGACGGGCATAGAACTCAGAGCCCTCAGCATCCACCAGTCCATATGGCCAATGCTGATTTGCGCCCACCTCAGGGAAAATAAAATCACGACTCCAATGCCCTAGCCCTTTGAGTTTGAGTTTGACCCTGCGTTGCCTTGCGCAACACGCGCGTCTTGACAATGCCAGAAAGGCGCAAGGAGCTCTGAACCCGAAGTGCCGGAAAGGGAGCAACCACGAAGCTATGGCGCGCCACATGTGCCAGGGCAACCAGCACGAGCAGCGCTGTTGAGCGGCGAGTATTTGGGTGCACCATGGCGCAGGTGTTTAGGGTTTAGGGTTTGGGTTCTGCTTAATGAGAACAACAACTGCGTCTATCAAAGGGCCAATACAACTCCTGAAAGGCTGCAGCCGGAACTGCACGGTGTACACTAAGCAACGGTGTCGCCTTCAAACCACAGGAATTGCCAAAGCTTCACAAACATGGCAGGCGCACCGTCTCATAGACGAACTCGCCGTTGTCGTCGCTTCCCAGTTCAGGGCTATGGTCTTTTGGGGATTTTTCTAT